CCCGCCACTCCGCCCTCCGCAAGTTCAAGGAGTTCCTCCGCGGCTTCACCGGCCCCACCGGCGACTTCCCCTACCGGTACCCCCTCCCCCCCTCTCCTCGCCAGATCTGGTCGAATCGGGCTAGTAGGCTGACCCGTGGACGCGTTCCCCTGTTTCTTTCCAGCGAGAGCCTCGTGCACAACCGCGACCATGTCACCGTCGCCATCGAGGACCTCGACGCCTTCGACGCCGAGCTTGCCGACCGGATCCGCAAGGCGCCCGCGGACTACCTGCCGCTGGTGCGTTCCCATCTCTGAACCGTCTTTTTTATTTTTTGGTCTGACGGGCTATCTGAAACTATGTCATGTCTGTCTTTTATCTGTTGATTCAGAGCTCTGTTTAACTCTTCGTGTGGTGGGTTTCTGCAGTTCGAGACGGCTGGATCAGAGGTTCTCGCCAGCCTCAGGTCGAAGGTTGCCGGCGAGACCGGGGAAATGGAGGAGCCCGTCACCGGCGATGTGCAGATCTTCCTCTCCTCCAAGGAGAATTGCGTCTCCATGAGATCTATTGGGGTCAGTTCTGGAACAAATTCAACAAATTAGCCCATTCCGGAGATTTTTAGGAACTCCATTCCGATAACCAACATAAAAATTACAGGCAGATTACATGTCGAAACTGGTGAAAATTGCGGGTATTGCAATTGCTGCTTCGAGGGTGAAGGCCAAGGCCACTCATGTGACACTGCTCTGCAAGAACTGCAGGAGTGTGAGGACTGTGCCGTGCAGGCCAGGCCTCGGTGGGGCTATTGTCCCACGATCCTGTGATCATGTTCCTCAGGTATATTTCTCGGTGATCATATTCAGTCATTGCCATACTGTTTAGTTTTGGATTGTTAATGGCGGTGGTACATGTATCTGATTGTTTCGCTTCCTTAGCCGGGAGAAGAGCCTTGCCCCCTGGACCCCTGGATTGCAGTTCCTGACAAGAGCAAGTATGTGGATCTACAGACTCTCAAATTGCAGGAAAATCCTGAGGTTAGTATTATGCTTCCTGCAGAACTGTTGAGTTGCAGTAATCCACTTTTATGTGATGTTCACTGGCTAACTACTGTAACATGACTACAATTATTAATCTTTGTTAATATCGTCTTCCAGGATGTTCCAACTGGTGAGCTTCCACGGAATGTGCTGCTTTCTGTAGATAGACATCTTGTTCAGACAATTGTTCCGGGGACTAGATTAACTGTCGTCGGCATCTACAGTGTATTCCAAGCATCTGGGACAAACAAGTATGTTTTGGAACCAGAGTTTTTGTTGTTGTTATCTAGGCTGGTTACATGGCTGATGCTGCCGTATATTCATTTTGCAGCCAGAAAGGTGCTGTTGGAGTTAAACAGCCCTACATTAGAATTGTGGGGTTAGAGCAGTCTCGAGATGACAACACAAATGGCCCCTCACATTTCACACTTGATGAGGTAGTTTAATTTCTTCTGTTTTCATTAATCATGGGAGCTGCACTTTTTCCCTGTGATGTTAACTTTATTGTTGGGTTGCAGGAAATGGAATTCAAAGAATTTGCACAGAGGCCGGATGCATATGCCAAAATTTGTTCAATGATTGGCCCTTCAATTTATGGTCATGGTGATGTCAAGAAAGCTATTGCGTGCCTTTTGTTTGGGGGATCAAAGAAGGTATTTGATCTTGTCAGCCTCTGATATGTTATATGTATTGCAAATTAAATTTTATTCTGTAGCTAATTGGGTCGTGCTCCCATGCTGTTTAAACTGTTTTCTACTACAGAGGCTACCAGATGGTGTCCGTTTGAGAGGGGACATTCATGCCTTGCTTTTGGGTGATCCATCCACAGCAAAATCCCAGGCAAGTGCTGTTTTAAGTTATCACGGGTCATGGCATTTAGTTTGTTGGCAAGTAACTTGATAATATAGGTCATATCAGTCTTGTCAACTCCCTAGAGTTGAAATTTATAAATGGTTAGTGATTTCACTTGCTGGAATATTTGGAAGGAGTGAAACGTAATATAGTTTGATACGTTGAAGGCTTGAACTAGCAAGTAGCTTTCAAGCCAGTCAACTTTCAGTTATAAGGTCCTGCTCTCCTTTGCTTTCCTTTTGCTGTTGCATGTGTCAGTATGTTATACTCTTATGCTTGAGTGCTCAACCTTTTCTTGTATGCATTAGGCAGGAGTGTGGCCCTTCCACTCTATAATGTCTACGCTTGCATGTTGGATTCATGTGATACTCTAGTTTAGTAAATGTAATTTGCCAAAATAATCGTTTCTGGTTTTTACACATAAAGACCAATGATTTCTGATTGAGTGACACACATTTCTACATTTGGACAGTTTCTGAAGTTTGTAGAGAAGACTGCACCAATTGCAGTCTATACCTCTGGAAAAGGTTCATCTGCAGCTGGTCTTACAGCATCTGTAACCCGGGATAGTAACTCGGTATGCTTTTCTAAATTGAATCACTTGTTCTGTTTACTCTGAAGTATTTGTTCTGTGTGTAAAAGACTATTCTTTTCCTGCGCAGCGTGAGTTTTATTTGGAAGGAGGGGCCATGGTGCTGGCTGATGGCGGAGTAGTTTGTATTGATGAATTTGACAAGATGAGGCCTGAAGACAGGTAACGTTTAACTAGCCCTTTGTCTAAACTAGAATATAACATTGTGTGCCTGTTTATTTTGTACCCTCTTATAATCATTTTAATCTGTTTTGTTATTCTTGTGTGGTTCCAGAGTTGCAATTCATGAGGCCATGGAGCAGCAGACCATATCTATTGCCAAGGCTGGCATTACAACAGTACTCAATTCAAGGACCTCAGTTCTTGCAGCTGCCAATCCAATTTCGGGGCGGTATGATGACCTGAAGGTTAGTCCATCTGTTTTGTTGTGACCTACTTATTCGATTTTGAAATGAATATACTATTCTAGTGCAAAGTTTGTTAACTGTCTTCTGCTGTTCATCAGACCGCACAAGATAACATAGATCTGCAGACAACAATCCTTTCTCGGTTTGATCTAATCTTCATAGTTAAAGATGTCAGAATGTATGAGCAAGATAAGGTATGGATCAAATTTCTTTCTTCAGATACTTGGTAGTCCTGTAAGCTATAGACTAAATGAACTTCAAATGCAGCGAATAGCAAACCACATCATTAAGGTGCATGCCAGTGGTGCTGCAACTCAAGCAAACAAGAACACAAATGCCAATGAAGGAGAGAATTGGCTGAAAAGGTGTGGTTGATTTTTCATATTATGTTTCACTCAGGATTTGTCAAGCTCCATCATATTCATAATCTTACAAATATGCAGATACGTCGAGTACTGCCGCAACACATGTAGACCACGACTCTCAGAAAAAGCAGCAGAGATGCTGCAGAATAAATATGTTGAGATCAGACAGGTATATCTACTGCAGAATTCACCACATCACATAATGAGTCAGCTTAAAGTTCATGAGAACATATTGTTATCTGGACTTGCTATTTCCTTATTAGGAATCATTTTTCCATCTGAAATGATGAAAGTTAGCCAAATCTTATTATAACATGCTCCTCTACATGTAAGCTTTATCTGTGCCTTTGGTGAAGATCTCTTCTTTGCCAGGCACAAGAGTAGATACGTAGAGTTGAAGTTTGCGTTATTGATGATAAAATAGAGATTGGGAACTTACTGATCAGAAACTTGCATGGACCTGATAAACTGTTTCTGTAAACTGAGATTTCATTCTTTTTTTTCTAAGTTCATGAGAACATATTGGTTATCTGGACTTGCTATTTCCTTGTTTGGCACTCCCTCCGTAAAGAAATATAAGAGCTTTTTAGTGATCTAAACGCTCTTATATTTGTTTACAGAGGGAGTATCATTTTTTCCACCTGAAATGATGAAAGTTAGCCAAATCTTATTATAACATGCTCCTGTACATGTAAGCTTTATCTGTGCCTTTGGTGAAGATCTCTTCTTTGCCAGGCACAAGAGAAGACATGTAGAGTTGAAGTTTGTGTTAATGATGATAAAATAGAGATTGGGTACTTACTGATCAGAAACTCGCATGGACCTGATAAACTGTTGCTGTAAACTGAGATTTCAATCATTTTTTCTTGTCCCAGTGATTACTGTGTACATATGTTTTACATTACGTGAGTCTTGAGCTTCTCCATGTTCATATTTGCTGTTCTGATGGCTGGTAATTTAGTTTTTGGCAAATGCCACAACAGTTTGAATGGTTCTCTGGGTCTGCTTTCTGAAAAATTCAAGTCATTTTTCACGATGGTTTTGTGGTGATTGTCACAATCAATTTTTTATTTAGACAATAGTTGCCAGATATTTACCCATTTTGTTTGATCATCATGCAGAAAATGAGACAACAATCCCATGAGACAGGAAGAGCTGCAGCCATACCCATCACTGTGAGGCAGCTTGAAGCTATCATACGGTTGAGCGAATCTCTTGCAAAGATGAGACTGTAAGTGCAATCTGATCACATGCTAATTTTGTTCAACAAGCATTTGTTTGCTGCTAGCTCAGTTCTGGTACATTTAGAAGATGTTTATGTATTTAGCATCATGACTTGGGGCTCTAACTTCTGACAAACAAGTATCATGGCATTCCTTGCTGACATGTGATTGGTTCTCAGGACTAGTGTGGCTACGCCAGAGCACATTGAAGAGGCATTTAGACTGTTCAATGTCTCCACTGTCGATGCCGCAAGATCTGGAATCAACGAGCATCTGAACTTGTCACCGGAGATTGCAAATGAAATCAAGGTGAGTCTCTTGCATCCAAAACAAGAATCTAGCTTCTTTAACCTTTTGCATCTCCTGAGTTTCCCTTCCATTTCATCCCAACAGCAAGCCGAAGCGCAGATAAAGAGAAGGATGGGAATCGGGAGCCACATATCTGAGCGACGGCTGCTCGACGAACTTAATCGGATGGGGATGAATGAATCCATTGTAAGCAACCTGTCATCACACACTAAAAATTCTCTCAAACAAATAGCATGCACAAAAATAGTCTATAACTGATAGATTTCTCACCACCCTTTCTGTTGCTGATTCAGGTGAGAAGAGCCCTTGTGATCATGCACCAGAGGGACGAAGTGGAGTACAAGAGGGAGCGCCATGTGATTGTCCGCAAGGCTTGAGCTGAACTGAACCGATGGAGCTACCATGGAACCCTCTGGCCATCTGATGTGTGTGTATAAGTAGTGCTGACACTGCAGCCCGTTTCCTGAGGAAATTTGTTGGGTCGTTGAAATTGAGTTGTAGTTGTACTACTTTGAGCTGTAGCTGTAGCCCTAAATCATATTGTGTCGAACTGAAGATGTACCCCAGTAAGTTCATTCATGAATGCAACATTTTGGCGTTCTGCAGCTGAGCAGAGTCAATGCCTAGGAAACTGAAACTTGCTCTTTGCCCTGTGTTGTTCTGATGTCGGTCTTCTTTGTCTTGTGAAATGTGATTTCGAAAAAAAAAACATAACATCTTCCCTATGCTTGAATTCAAACCACATCTTCAATCACTACATATGTAGTCTATAAACTAGTAGTTGTAGTGATGTTTAAATAGACAGCTTCAAAGAGTCAAGTTTTAGTCTATTAATACTGAATTGTTGAGTCTTATCAAAAGCAAAAATGATTAGCCTGAAAACGGCAGTGCTTTTTTATGCTAATGACTTTGAACAGGGCATGCTTTTTAAGGGAGTGGAATTCTAGCTCTGACTATCTTGCATCTGAGTATTATGCTAAGTATCGTCTAAAAATGTAACTTAGCTGCCATGCTGGTCCTTATGGTGTGGGTGAAGGTCTTGAATTTAATACATCCTATTCCGCATTGTTATTTTTTTTAATGATGCTTGCTCGTAATCAGCCTCATAAAAACCTTATATTCCTGAAGAAGATTTGTCGCAAAGCTAGGAGAAAACCTTGTGATCCCCATGGCTGGCTGGCCAGTTTTCTTTGTAGTTCTGTTAGTAATAATGTTATGTACATAATCTAATGAAAAATATCAATTAGCCAATAGGTTAATTCACCTACTATTTCCTCTAAAAACGAAACCATGTGGAAAATGTAAACACTTAGTGATGGAACTATTGTTTTAGTTGGTCGTATGTGTTTTGCTTGGTGGGTTATGGAGTGCCTTGGACAACTTTCTTCATGTTGTAACTGTTGGGGCTGCACCACTGTTATATGCCACTGATGAGCAATGAAAACAACAAAGCAATGCACCAATTCATTGACAACAACTATTGACAAGTTCAACCAACACGCAAGCAACGGAATAAACACAAACAAAATGCACATGTGACACATAAATTTAACGTGGAAAAACCTAGGAGTAAAAAAAAACCACATACTGTATAGAATTTTCTTTAAAACCTGTAGAGGGATTTACAACACACTCAACATGTTGCTAGCCAGGAACAACTATTACTACAAGAGGCAAGATTTCAGTAGTAAACACGACTTTTGCTCCATTCTATATTTCGTCAGCTGCTATCAAACTGCTGAGCCAAACAACTCAAAATTTTCTAGACAAACAGACACACAAGTTCGTGAGATACCCTCAAAATTTCAACTTCATCGAACATTGTTTGCCTACCCAATTTATTCGTCTGCAAAAATATTATGTGCTTAAACTTCAGCAGACCGAACATACAAAAACACTGTCAAATTTGATGCTCCAGTGACACAATTCTCAAACTAGCTAATCAGGTCAAAGTACTCAAAGTAAGGAACTAACTCATCAAGTTTGGTGTCGAGCCAAGCACATTTGAGCCGTCGATAACCACCTTGAACGTTGTCTAGTCAGATACATCAAATCTGGACAGAATCACCTCTCCTTTCTCTTTTCTACTGAGTTGTGTTGTTCTTTGTGTGCTCGCTCACTCTCACAATGGCAGCCAACTAATGGAAATATGCCCTAGAGACAATAATAAAATGGTTATTATAATATTTCCTTAATCATGATAAAGGTTTATTATTCATACTAGAATTGTATTGACCGGAAACTTAAATACATGTGTGGATACATAAACAAATACCGTGTCCCTAGTGAGCCTCTACTAGACTAGCTCGTTGATAAAAGATGGTTAAGGTTTCCTAACCATAAACATGAGTTGTCATTTGATAACGGGATCCCATCATTAGGAGAATGATGTGATGAACAAGACCCAACCGTTAGCATAGCATATGATCGTTCAGTTTATTGCTACTGCTTTTTTAATGTCAAATACATGTTCCTTCAACCATGAGATCATGCAACTCCCGGATACCAGAGGAATACCTTGTGTGCTATCAAACATCACAATGTAACTGGGTGATCATAAAGATACCCTACAGATATCTCCGAAGGTGTCTATTGAGTTGGTGTGAATCAAGATTGGAATTTGTCACTCCATGTATCGGAGATGTATCTCCGGGTCCTCTCGGTAATACACATCACAAGAAGCTTACAAGCAAAGTGACTAAGGAGTTAGTTGCAAGATGATGTATTATGGAACGAGTAAAGAAACTTGCCGGTAACGATATTGAACTAGGTATAAAGATACCGACGATCGAATCTTGGGCAAGTAACATACTGGCACACAAAGGGAATAACGTATGTTGTCATAAAGGTTCAACCGATAAAAGATCTTCGTGGAATATGCAGGAATCAATATGGGCATCCAGGTCCCGCTATTGGTTATTGACCGGAGAGGTGTCTCGATCATGACTACATAATTCCCGAACTCGTAGGGTCGCACGCTTAACGTTCGTTGTCGCTAGAGTAGTATTGGGATATTTGATGAGTGGTAACCAAATATTGTTCGGAGTCCCAGATGAGATCTCAGACGTCACGAGGAGTCTCGGAATGGTCGATAGGCAAAGATTTATATATGGGAAGTCATATTTTGGGTTCCAAAAAATGTGCGGTTTTTTCAATATTGTATCGGGAAGCTTCCAGAAGGTTCCTGAGGATTCCGGAGGGGTTCGGAAGTCCACAAGTGGGTTCACCACGACCCAAGGGCTAGCATGGGCTGCAGGGAGGCGTCCCGGCCTTATTGGGCTAGGCGCACCAAGTCCTCAAAAGCCCATGTGGCTAGGGAAGGCAGAAAAAGGGAAGGAGTCCTAGTAGGAATAGGATTGGACTTGGAGTCCAAGTCCTCTCCCCCTTAGCTGTGCCCTAGGGCTTGGAGGGGCTATTTCCCATGCCCCTCCACCTATATAGAGAGGAGAGGGGGTGACCCAAGAGGATACATCAAGCCCTTGGCGCCCCCTCTCTCTCGTTACTCCGTAGTTCCACCGCCTCATACCGGCGACGCTTAGCGAAGCGCTGTTGGTGCTCCATAACCACCATTACCACCATATCGTCATGTTGGTTGTGATCCCATCTACTTCCCCTCTCCCGCTTGCTGGATCAAGAAGGAGGACACATCATCGAGCCGCACGTGTGCTAAACTCGGAGGTGCCGTCCGTTCGACACTAGACCGGTTGGATAGTGATCGGATCGTGGAGAGTACGGCTACATCAACCGCATGATAGACGCTTCTGCTTAGCAATCTATAAGGGTATGTAGATGCTCTCCCCCTCTCGTAGCTATGCATCTCTATGGATAGATCTTGCGTGTGCGTAGAAATTTTTTGTTTTCCATGCAACATTCCCCAACAGTGGCATCATGAGCTAGGTCTATGCGTAGATGATATGCACAAGTAGAACACAAAGGAGTTGTGGGCGGTGATGTTCATACTGCTTACCACAAACGTCTTATTTTGATTCGGCGGCATTGTGGGATGAAGTGGCCAGGACCAACCTTACATGTCCACGTAGATGAGACCGGTTCCACCGACTGACATGCAACTTGTTTTGCATAAAGGTGGCTGGCGGGTGTCTGTTTCTCCTTCTTTATTTGAATCGAATTTGACTACGACCGATCCTTGAAGAAGGTTAAAACAAAAAAACTTGATAATCACCGCTATAGTTTTGCGTAGGTAAGAACTATTCTTGCTAGTTGCCCATAGTAGCCACGTAAAACTTGCAACAACAAAGTAGAGGACGTCTAACTTGTTTTTGCAGGGTATGTTGTGATGTGATATGGTCAAGACGTGATGTGATATACGTTATTGTATGAGATGATCATGTTTTGTAATATCGACAACTGGCAGGGGCCTTAGGGTTGTCTTTTAATTATTATATGAAATGCAAGCGTCATGTAATTGCTTTACTTTATCGCTATGCATTAGCAATAGGTGTAGAAGCAATAGTTGGCGAGACGACCCTGGCGCAATGATGGAGATCAAGGTGTCGAGCCGGTGATGATGGGGATCATGCTGATGCGTTGGAGATGGAGATCAAAAGCACAAGATGATGATGGCCATATCCTGTCACATATTTTGGTTGCATGTGATGTTTATCCTTTATGCATCTTATTTTGCTTAGAATGACGGTAGCATTATAAGATGATCCCTTCACTTAATTTCCAGATAAAAGTGTTCTCCCTGAGTATGCACCATTGCCAAAGTTCGTCGTTTTGAAGCACCACGTGATGATCGGGTGTGATAGACTCTACATTCACATATAATGGGTGTAAGCCAGTTTTGCACATGCAGAATACTTGGGTTAAACTTGACGAGCCTAGCATGTACATACTGAAGGAAATATGCCCAAGTTGTTATTTTATATTTCCTTATTCATGATAAAGGTTTATTATTCATGCTAGAATTGTATTGATCGGAAACTTAAATACATGTATGAATACATAAACAAATACCACGTCCCTAGTATGACTCTACTAGACTAGCTCGTTGATCAAAGATGGTTAAGGTTTCCTAACCATAGACATGTGTTGTCATTTGATATCGGGATCACATCATTAGGAGAATGATGTGATGGATAAGACCCATCCGTTAGCTTAGCATATTGATCGTTCAGTTTATTGCTATTGCTTTCTTCATGTCAAATACATATTCCTTCGACTATGAGATTATGTAACTCCCGGATACCAGAGGAATACCTTGTGTGCTCACTACAAAAAAAGACACATCCGTGACATTTTGGGCCGAACGAATTTTCCCCCTGTCATACTTATGACACTTCTATGACGATAATTATGACAAAACCCGGTATCATCATAGATGTGATGGGCTCCTACTTCTATGACAAAAAAT